CTCGATATCCGTATAACCGAAGCCTTCCGTCCATACATTCGTGCCGTTTATACTGAACCCCATAACAGCCCCGGGAACTGAGTTTTGGGCCATAAATGTGTTGACCAGTATCCGGGCATCTTTTATCGCGTCATCGATTGTGTCATACTTTGCATTTAAATTAAAGTCTTCGTTGAATCCATTGCCTACGATTGGCTTTAATTTAAAATCAGTTTCAAAACTAAAACTATATGAAATATTAATCAAGAATAATAGTAAAACTAAATTAGTTTTAAATAACATTTTTATAATATTCTTTAATAATAAAATGTTTGAATTGTAACAAAAACCACTTTCAATCCTTGCTTTTATACACAATTGTGATATAATATGATTCACTGTGACTCAATTGTTATCAAGTATTAGTCAGCAAATTGATTCAGGTTAAGTATTATATTATTCTTGATATTTATTATTACACAGACCCTTATCTAGTTTAAATATAATATAGTATCTCAATGTATTTAATAAAGAGTAAAAATAATATTATTTAATTTGAACACTCAATTACATAAACTGGTGAAATATATGTTAACATTTTTATAAATTGGTACATTAGTATGAACTGTACGCCAGGCTTGCAGAAGCGATAAAAGTAAACGTGTATGTCAACTCAAATATTCACTTTTAGATAGTTGTCTTTTTTGTCAAAAAATGTGTTTTAAATCTTGTTTCAAATCTTTTCCAATACCTTTTGCAACATTATATAGAACTTTAATATAACATATAGAATAAGTTAACATTACTTTTGTTGATATAAATTATTTATTGTTCATTATTTCAAACCCAGAATTTATATTCTTATCGTTTGAATCTCTGTTCAAATGGTTATACTTCAGGAAAGTATGCAAACTGCTGAGTGTCTCACCATTTGCGCCATTCATTAAAATACCTTTAATTAAAAATTATCAATTATTAAATGATTTGTTACGTAATATAATAAATAATTAAAAGTCAGACTCAATGCCGATAGTATTGAAAGTGGAGAAATGATGTGATTTCCAGTTTTGGCCAAAATATTGAATATATTGAACATAAACTCATTGTTGGCTTCAATGACCACTTTATCGTGACTTTTATGTGTCGACTCACGCACTACGTCCACGCCATTGACCACAACGTGTAATAACAGTCCAATCAATAGCTTACTATTCATTCTGCAAACTTTGGTTTTGTTATTTAAAAGTTTCATTAAATATGTTGTATTAAACCGTATGGTGTGGTGGACCAAGTTTGTGACCAATAATAATGAGAAAAGTTGTTTACTTGATTTATCCCAGAAAAACCTTAGGGTTTCACTAAAATAATTATTAAAATTACTTTAAATGCTTATTATTTATGAATTATAACTTTATTAATATTTATTCATAAGTATATTTACAACTGGTTTTTAATGGACAATAATTTTGAACACATATTTAGAGCGAGAGATAGAGAGACACTGAAAAGTATGGGTTCAGGTTAGAGGCAAATATGGTTTATAATTAATTAATTACTACCGTAGTAATAGCGTACTTTAATTGAAAACATTGCATTTCAATTTAGACAAATTAATTTACTATTTACATAAAATTAAACAAAATTATTATCATGAGAATTTTTCAGTTAAATGTCAATAAAACATAAGTTATTATTTTATTCGTATAATATACAAGTATTACAAATGTAAAGAAATGTAAAACAATAATATTTATTGAATAAATGTTACACTTATCGTAGTTAACACTACTTTTCAGCTGAGAGTTGTGTATTAAACATAGAAAATAATTTTATTTTTCTCAATCACTAACATTTGATTGTAATTAATAAAAAGTTTGCAAACATTGAATATTGCCATTGAAAAAGTAGACAAACATCAAGTTATAAAAACTCCTTTTCAAAGGCAATATTCAATGTAAAATTGCAAACAATGACTGCTCTTGAACAGTTAGTTTAATAAATGTTTGAAAAATTTTAAATGTAAACCTTATTCATTTTTGAGCACTATTCAACGCACCAATTAGATTTACTCAATGACTTCTAGTAGAGTTACAATAAACACCTACCATTCCTCCCGGTGCCGTCATGAAGAAATTTTAATAAATTAGGAATTGATAGAGAATTAAATTATTGACATTTTTTTATGTCATAACTATTTAAAATTCCTATTTCTGTTCATGCTATAAACTGTCAAAGTCAAATTTTTAGACATACCGGGTCTCCACGGCCAATAAATATGGTTATTTTGATCAAATTAATTTTTGAGTATCTCTTACTTTTTATGCTCTTTTAAATGAACTATCTATTGTGAAAATATGCTTTGTACTTTTTAATCTATAGCATATTTTAAATAAACGACCTGTGCCTAACTATCAAGTTGTCTCATCGGGAGCACTTGTAAGATCTAAAACCATAGTTGAAATTTAAATAGAATAAAATTAAATAATTTAGTTTAGAAATAAGCTAATCTTTACTAAAACTATATGAACAATTAATCAAAAATAACATAAAAACAATGCTAGGTTTAAATAACATTTTTATAATATATATTAATTATAAAATGTTTTAATTTATATATAAAACTTTAGATCCTTTGCTTTTACATACAATTGTGATATACTGTCATTTCATATGATTCACACTGTGTAATCTAAATTGTAATTAAGTATTAATGAGCAAATTGACTCTGGTCAAACTCACGTTAACTCACCAGAGTCATTTCTAATGTGGTCAACACTACCCTCTATACTGCACTTATAAATCAATAATTATTGAAATATTTATATCAATTTGTTATTAAATTATTTCTTAATGAATCATTAAACAGACAGGTATTTTACGGACATCACGACCTTGCTTATAATTGCAATTAGATACGGAATTAATAGCTTTACAAATGAAAATAATACAGTAAATTTATCAACATTTTGGATAATAAATTATTATTATTATTAATGAAGTTTTTAAGATTGCTATTTTTAATTTTTTTTCTAATAACTGAACATTTATAAAATTACCAATTAAAATGTAATTTAATTGTATTTTTTCTATTAATTTTCATAGAAATTCTCAATTTTTACAGAAAATCTTTAAAATTTTTGGCCACATTTAGCGCCAACTTTTCCAAATCCAAACCCTGCGCACCCATACCTCTATTGAGAAAAGCAATGCCCACCATATTCTCATCGGGAAATAGATTAAACAGGGTAGTTGTACCGTCCAATCCCCCTGAATGCCAAATAACTGTTTTATATGGATAGGGTTCCGGTGGTTTTGAAATCATCCACCCTTTGGCTAAATCATGACAATTTAAATTGAATCTTAAATTTATCAGGCACAAATTGACTTATACAATTATAATACCATATTCATCGGTTCCCATAATTATAGGCTTAACTTTGCCCACAGTTTCCGGTGACCACAACTCCCGTACTGTTTGTTGAGTCAAGAAACCTATGAATATAAGCAAATAATTAATAATAATTTATTTATAATAAACTGATCATGATCAGTTATAAACGAACTATTTCTTTCTTTAATTAAATATACTAAATATTAATCAATTTGAACAAAGTATACCAAAATGTTCAGGTATAATGAACTTTTTATATCTGTATTAAAGAAGAGCCATACGTTATTTACCTTGTTTATAAATATCGAGTAAACGTGTGAACTAGTGCACTCGAAAAGCGTGTTCTCACGTTTACTCGCTATTTATAATCAAGGTAAACTTTGGTATACTTTTTGTTAAAATTGATTAATATTTAGTATATATAGTTAAGGAAAGAAATAGGTTGTTTATAACTGATCACAGTTTATATTAAAAATTAATTTATTAACCATTTGTGCCCTTATATGAAGAGATCATTGCGTTTCCAAACCTCAACATATCGTCGGCGGTTGATATGATACCCCCTGCCGGCCAATTACCCTCGTATGAGATCAACTCATCCATTATGTCAATCTTTTGTGTTGTCCCGGATGATGATAACTCATAGTATTGTGGTCTGTGTTTCACAATCATTTCTCTTCTCTCAGCAAATGTTGAATTCATGTGTAATTGTGTAAACATTTTCTTCATTTCATTCTCATATGTGTTGTTAAGTATGGACTCAATGATAGCTCCGGTCATTATATATCCGTAATTAGAGTAATTAAATTGAGTGCCGGGTTTGGACAGTAAGGGCTCGTTTTTGAATGGTCTGA